TGCACAAATTTTTGTGCACCGGGCCTCTAGTCACTAATAAAAAAAAATATAAGAATAAACTGTGCTTCGTGTAGTCACAACTGTAAACCTACGTTTGCCACACACCGTGTGTTGAATAAATCAATAAATATAACTGCAGTGGATGCTGTGACTCATCATCCAGAACCCCTTTGTAAAACTGAAGGGCTTATTTTCTTAACTGTTAGGAGTAATGCTGGCAGACAGCCCTCAGCTGTCAGCCTTCTTAGGGGCTCAAATAGCCTTTTTGGCCCAAGATTACACTCATTCCTGAGGCAGCTTGCATCTAATTGAGGCAGGATAATAAGAAGCTAGGAAAATTCCTGGGCAAGTAGAATGTGGAAACTGAGACAAGATAATTAAACAAGGCCAAACAAATTAACCAATTTATAGCCAGCTAGTGAATCAACAAGACCTTATTTTTTCTAACCAAGGGCACTTGAGAACAAATGGTTGATACCTCTCCTCTCTGACCAGAGGATAAATAGCTTAAGTCACCCTGACCAGGGAGACAGAACACAGAGACCCAATTAATGCTATTTGTGCCAGCCAAACCCAAGGATGGATGAAGTCAGAGAAACAAATACCAAAAACTCGATTACAGACAGACAGACCCAAGATAAAAGTAAAGGAGTGAAGTTGACCAGAGAATAATCCCAAACTCCCCTATACACTCATTTTGATGTATCAGCATATTTAAAATGCACCTGGAAAGATGATGAATATTCTGCTGAAACCCTCCCCTAAGATTCTGGCCCCCAGAAGAGAAATAAAAATCCTCAAGAGAAAGGATGCTGGGCGGGCACTCTCTGGAGCACTTTTTACTTCTTTTCTCCTAAAATCTAAGGGTCCCCACGAGACCTGCAACCAGGGGAGCAGCAGGTAGCAGAAGCTCGTCCTGGGTTTACCACCTGAACCTGTCTCTAAGCCCCCTTTCTCTCCGACTTTCCAGTGAACTAACAGCAGCTCTGCCTTATCTCACTTCTGTCACTGTGACTGTTACTTCCCAGTGAGCTATTAGTAGCCCTATCTTGGGGCTCACTTTCTATGGAGCCAAAGCAGAGCATCACCTAGGCCAGTGGTCGGCAAACTGCGGCTTGCGAGCCACATGCGGCTCTTTGGCCCCTTAAGTGTGGCTCTTCCACGAAATACCTACTTCTGCGCATGGGCCACAAAGTTTCAGTCACACTGTACGTGTACGTCCGCACGTGATATTTTGTGGAAGAGCCACACTTAAGGGGCCAAAGAGCTGCATGTGGCTCGCGAGCCGCAGTTTGCCGACCACTGACCTAGGCTCTCTCCTGTTATTTCTTCTATCTGTAAGTCCTTCCTTTGCTCCACTGTCCTCAGCTTTAATAAATGTACTCTCAAAATCACCTGGACTCATATGTGAAATCTTTCCTGCAGGAAGTCAATAACCCACACACTACAGGCCGGCCTGAGGTAGACCTGCTCTGGGTCCAGTCCCCATCCAGTCACATAATAATTGGGGATATAAAGGTCCAGCTCTCCTTACCCCAATTTGAGACAATTATGAGGATCACCCCAGCTTCAGAGCTCATTCTTGGGGTTGTTGAGACTGCATCACAGTCCAACTTCCATGGAAATTGGGCTTCCTTTCTTTGCATGGCATTGAAGGCCTCCCTAGTAAATTGCTATACTCTAATTTTCATCTTAGAGTCTGCTTTCAAGAAACCCAATCTAAGACAAAAGATGATCTAGGTTTGATCCAGATTTAAATCTCCCAAGAAAAGGTACTTAACTTCATAGTAAAGTCAGTAAATATAAAAGGCTTTACAAAGACTAAGGAATGATAAACTCTTTTATCCCTATAATTTGTTTCCTTATTTCAGCTACTTTAAGTAATCAAGAGACCTGTAATATTTTGAGGACTGCCTTTGTGTATCTATTTTAGTATCATGTAAACTATTAATGACAAACTGTACCAAATGCAATTATTACCTAATTTAAAAGAAAGCAAAAATTAAAAATTAAACATTAATGAATTTAGTATAAACATGGTATAAACATGGCATTGCAGAGAGCAGTTGTTCTTATCATGGGTGTTAATTAAATCTGACTTGATAAAGAATTGCTTTACCATTAAAAGCTACTCAATACATTAAGTACAGTACTTTTTAAAAAAATCCTCATCTGAGGATATGCTTATTGATTTTAGAGATGGGGGAAATGGTTCCCTCCCATATGTACCCCATCCAGGGATGGAACCCACAGTCTAGGTATGTGCCCTGACCAGGAATCAAACCCCCAACTTTTTTGGTGCATGGGACGATGTTCCAACCAACTGACAGACCCAGGTAGGGCTTAAGTACAATACTTTTAATTACAATGGACAGAAATGCAATGCTTATGAAAAAGTCATTGTTAAAATATGAAAAGTTACAAATTATCAGAACTATTCAAGGCACAGCTGAGTAAAAAATAAATGAATAAGTAGCAAAACTATTTGCTTTATCTGGATATAGCACTATTGGACTTAAGTAATACCTTAACTTTGTAATAATGGTTGATGAAGTACAACTACTAAATTGAGGCTCAAGAATTATTTCAAGAATGTAAGTACTCATTTCCTAAGATTTAAAAAAACAACAACACATTTTTTATTAATTTTAGAGAGAGAGAGGAAGGGAGAGAGAGAGAGAGAAACAGCTATCAGTTGCCACTCATACAGGATGGAACCAGCAACCTGGGCATGTGTCCTGACTGGGAATCGAACCAGTGGACCTTTCAGTGCACAGGACGACACTCAGCCAACTGAGCCACATGGCTAGGACAAGATTTTTTAAACTGTAAGACTATTTGTCAATCTGCTATACAGATTGGCTAGCACTAGCCATGCTTTTCTAGTATCACCTAATAATTCATGCTCACTACTAAAATCTGGAAGTTTTGCCAAAGTGTATAGATCCCAATATTCAGCTTTCCGATAAAAGTTAAATGATTGGTCTATATATGGAAAATGTTTCAGGCTACACTCCCTGGAAAATAGCCCAAAAGGCATTTAATTCTATCTATATATATTTCAGGAAACATGCCTAAACTTGAATCATCTGCTATGTGGAAATTTAAGAGGCGTGCTGAGTGCCAAATTACCATAGTGACCTTTGCCATATTTCTTCACCATATTCTCTTCTTTCAATAAAATGAATCAACTAAGTAATATTACTTGTCCACGGAGACATGTTTTGATAGTCACAAGATGATATTTAATCAAAGAAAACTGAAAATAGCATAGAGTATTGAAAAGACCTGGTGCCAGTACTAACACACATAAAATATTTTAGTCAGAATTAGTAACTTGTCACTAAGTTACTATAATTAGATTCCAAGTATTTCATTAACTTATTTAATACTTACCTTCCCCTATCATAACATAAAAGCAACCACTGACAACCCATCTTTATTTTTAACACTGCTTTTATTTATTTGTGCTTTCCTCTAAATATCTCCTGCACATATTTCCTTACTGCTGATTTCTTTTTATAAGAAAATTCATTAAAGCCGAAGCCGGTTTGGCTCGGTGGATGGAGCGTCGGCCTGCGGACTGGGGGGTCCCAGGTTCGATTCCGGTCGGGGGCATGTACCTGGGTTGCGGGCACATCCCCAGTGGGGGATGTGCGGGAGGCAGCTGATCGATGTTTCTCTCTCATCGATGTTTCTAACTCTCTATCTCTCTCCCTTCCTCTCTGTAAAAAATCAATAAAATATATTTAAAAAAAAAAAAGGAAATTCATTAAAAATCGGAATCATTATTACTTTCATGTATAACAGCATAATGTTCAATTTCATGCCCAAATTAAATAGCTTATAAGTCATTTTATTTTATGGGTTTTCTAAAGATGGTTACTCTATAATAAATCATTTAGAGGGCCAACTTCCTAATGGCAGATCCTTTAATGACAGAGAAAGAGTCATCTCTTAAAATTTACATTATGTGGAAAGTCTGAGAAGTATTAGGCCGTTGTCATCTTACCATGAACACTTCCTAATGTAATATCCCCAGCAGCAGAAGATAGAAATGATGATTCTGTGTAAAGATACTTGGCTTTCAGCAAACCATCTTCAGTAGATATATTAACAGAACTTCCCTGCAGTTTATCTATGGTCACAGTCTAGTAAGAGAAAGACTCAAATTAGTTCATTATAAAACAAATACTGGTAAAAAGCCAAAATGGTACCTACAGAAGTAGTAGGTAACTACATAAAAAGTTAGTACCAAATCACTTTATTGGCTTTGATTCCCTAACTCTATCAATTACAAGATTAAGAGTGACAGTGCACTCTCTGTAGAATGTGAAATAGACCCATTATATTCATTTATTTAGATCTTTAATTTCTATTAATGTTTTACATTTTCTATGTATTTTTCATGTTTTGTTACATTTATTCCTGTTTGATATTTCTAAGTGCTACTATAAAAGATATTTAAAATTTTACTTGACCTTATTTGGCTTTTTTATTTGACCTTAAATCCAACAACTTTACTAAACTAATTTTAATAATTTATCTGAATTAGAAACATGTTTTTACATGCATAATTATATTATCTACAAGTGATAATTTAATTCAGTGGTGAATAGAAGCCTTGGGACAGCAAGAATTCTCATCTTATTCCTGTTCTCAGAGGGAAAGCTTTCAACATTGTATCAAGTAGGATGTTTGATATAGATACCTTTTTGATCTCTTTTATCGGATTAAAGAAGTCCTCTTATACTTCAAATTTGTTTTGTTGCTATTTAAATAACAGATTTTGAATTTTAGCATACTTTATCTGATTTTATTAGACTATCATGATTTTTCTCATTTCGTTGTTTAATGCAGTGAATGAACTATCATTTTTAGAATTTTTCCACTTTACATCTAATAAGACAGTAGCTTTCCACTGAACAAAATGGAAGGAATTTTGTATTTATCCCTAAGTTTGCCTAGCAAAATGTGGTATGCATTTATGTCTCACATATTGTGCACAATATAAAATGAAGATAGCTAGTTTAGAATTGCAAATCATCTTTGTAGTATTTTAAACAAATGTTTTTAAGCATAAAATGAATGTTAATATAAAATTGTTAACATAGAAACTGAAATCACCAGGAAGGCTTGCCAGTTTTGCCCAGGGTCAAATTAATGTATTACACTGGGGTGTTTAAAGAAAGAACATCATTGTTTTTTCAACACATGGGCATTGGTATAACCAGCTCCTAATATATCCTTCAAAAACTGTTAAGCATTCAAAATATTTTTAATAAGAACTGAGTTTCAAGAATACTAAAATATGAGAAGACAAACACAAATATGAAAAGAGAAAGGAAAGTACCCTGTGGTTCTTATAGGAAGTAAATTAGAATCACTTGGCCCTCTGGATTTGAAATATATAGTTTTCTTTTTTAATGGACTTTTATTAAATATACTAGAAGCCCGGTGCATGAAATTCGTGCACTCAGGAGGGTCTCTCAGCTGGCCTGCGCCCTCTCACAGTCTGAAAGCCCTCAGGGGATATCTGACAGTCGGTCATCCTCAGTGCTGCCACAGAGGCGCAAGAGGTTCCTGCCACCACTGCTGCACTCACCAGCCGTGAGCCAGGCTCAGGGCTTCTGGCTGAGCAGTGCTCCCCCTGTGGGAGCACACTGACCACAGGGGGGCAGCTCCTGCATTGAGCACCTGTCCTCTGGTGGTCGGTTCATGTCATAGCAACCAGCTGTTTTGCCGTTTGGTCTATTTGCATATTAGCCTTTTATTATATAGGATAATACACACCCAACTGCTTTTTTACCTACTACAGTTTGTTCTAAGCTAATTTTGGATCGCGGAAATTTTCACTTTAAATTTAGTTTCAATAATTCTATCAACCAAAGATAGATATATTCGAATTTGTGAGAATACAATGTTTGGCATTCTTCAGTGTTATAGTAAAGGTATAAAATTTCTGAAAAATTTATCTTTTACCTACAAAATTTCTTCATGAAAAGTTGCCTTATGCATGGTTTTAAATTTTCCAAGTTTCTACAAAGTAGATAGCAAGTAGGAATATTCCAGTTTTTACAGACACAGAAGCTGTTTTAGGGAACACCAAAAGATAAACAGATAAACATGGAGAGAATATTTGAATCTTAATTGAACTGGCAAAGAGGCACTTTTGATTAGACTCTCCCTATAACCAAATAGCCTTTAAGAGACTCTATGAATATCTGGAAAATGCCAAGGATTTACTTTGTTCATTAAACAGGAAATATTTTACTCTGTAGGAAGCTAGAAATATATCCTCCACTGCCCCACCAAAGCAAATGAAAGCAAGTGAAAGTACACTTCCCCCACCACAATATAGTAATTTTAACTGATTATTCTATAAAATTAATTTCAAACAAATTCAAAATTCACTAATATAATGCACTATATCAGATAATAATTAGAACAATTAAACTTAGGACATCACAGTTAACAGCAAAATATTGAGGTTCTGATTTACAGTTATTAATGATAATGAAACAAATCATAAGTAGACTCTTTGAATTAAACTATATAGCTTGCTTATCAATAGAAAATAGCTATTTAAAGAGAAAAAATAGATCCCAAAATCAATACCTTCCTGAGAGATATTACTATAATTAATTTCCTTTTCTAAGAAAATGAGAGGAAAAACTTTTCATAAGTTTAGTTATTATAAATCAACATTACATGTAATGAAAACCAAGTTTTAAAGAACCACTGTAGCTTTGCAGTCCAACCTACAAAGAGAGGTCAACTAGCAACTATGTCATTAATTTATCCACCAATCATATGAATTTCTATCTTCTCTGTACCAAAATTAGGGAACTGAAATTAATGATATAATTTAAAAACAGCAACTCCATATAAAATAACATGTAAAGAATGCTGTTAAGTGTTTTCAGAGCTCACTTGATTCTCATAATCTTGTTGACTGGGGAAAACAAATAATACCATCGCTGTTTTACGAATAAAGAAGTCTCAGTAAAGTTAATGGTAGATCCAGGACTGGTCAAGTTGTCTTTGTTAAATGTGTTTCATTTACCTTTATCACCATCATTATAATCTCTAGTATAAAAACCCCATGGCCTTGACGCCTTGATGCTGTAATGACCAAACGCCAACAGGCACCTGCTGAACATCATATGATTTCTTCATGGGAACAAGGAGTGTTGCTCTGTTCAATTCTCATCTTCCAATGAAGGTCAATTTAAGTGCTCTTGAGAAGGAAAGGTTAGGGCAGGAAACTATTCTTATCTCCGTCCACAACGGTTTTAAGGTGAGCAGGCTGCGTGTGCAGCGAGGCGCGTGAGGTGGGCGGGGACTTGATGCTGGGTCCCGTGGTGCGCCAGGTCTAGGTCTCATGCAATTTCGCATGGTGGGCCTCCAGTAAACACTATATTAGAGTTAGCTACATGCCAGACATCATTTTAAGTACTTTGTCTGTATTAACTCATTTAACCCTCCTCATAACAACCCTCAGAGTGAAGTACATTAGTATTATTCCATTTTCCAGAAAAAGCAGACATATAGAGATTAAGTAATTTATCTGAAGTTAAAGAGCTTAGTAAGTAGCTGAACCAGGATTGAAACCCAAGTAGTTTAATTCTTAATTCTGTGCTCTTAACCAATTCACAGTGCTGCTTCTCAAATATGCAAAGCATGTCTGTGAAAGTAGTATATTAAAAGTTAACATCCTATATAATAAAAGAGAAACATGTAAATTGACCATCCCTCCACTACACTCACCAGCCAATCAGGAAAGTATGCAAATTAACCTGACAAAGATGGCGGGTTAATTTGCATTTGCAGGCACTGAGCAGCCTGAGTCCCGGGAACATCATCGGGACCCAGGCCGCTCCTAGCCTGTAGGCCCACACATAGGCCCTGAGCAGCCAGGGTTCCAGAACGCCCCCGGCCACTCCGGGCCTAAGGTGCAGGCGCCAAGTGGATGTTCCCACCCCATGGCACTTGCGCGTGCACCAGTGCCAAGCAGCGGCCCGAGTCCACGCCCCCCAGCTCAGCGCCTATCACGGGGCGAACAGACCAGGCCTCCCCGCGATCCCAGGCAAAGAAGCCGCTCTGCTGACCAGCCTACACTAAGGACCTGTTCAGGTGGGTGGCGCGGAGTCCAGGGCCTCTAGCCTGCAGCCACGGGAAGTCTCCCTCTCCCCAGTTAGGAGCCCAGGTTCACCCAGCGGCCCGGTCCTGACTGCGGGGGTGAGTTCCTGCAGGCGGGAGTTTGATCCCTAGGCATTAGCAGTAGAAGACCAGTGCCTTTGTTATTGCTGTGTCCGGGTTTTAATTGGACAAATGCCCGGCGGTCCTGGGCACCAGCTTAGCAAAATCTTTTAGGAGGAGAATTCTGTCTGGAATTTCCTCAGCCACTACTCACCCATCTGTAAAAGTGCAGAACAAGTGAGGCCCCTTAAATAAAAATCAGAGGTCTCCAGCAATGGTGGGCCTCTCTCATCACAATCATTTGGACTGGATGGCATTTGAGTATTTATCTAGGCACCATGACAGGGAACACACAAGCTCAAGTCATGATCTCTGCCCTTAAATAATTCACAATCTTATTAGAGCGAGTGGATGATAAAAGTGCAGTAATGACATCAGAATGTAAAGAAACAATAGACAGGAACAGAAGCAATTGCTAGGATGATTTTCCAACAATTAGTACAGAGTATGTGCTGTGAATTAAATAAAAAAAAATATGTGTGGAAGTAGTTGCTTCATGAGTATGGGATCCCTTCCTATTTTAAAGGAAACTGAGTTCCATGTGAACTGTATAATATGCTATGATATCTGAGGCACAGGACAAGGGAGGCCTTAAGTGTACTATGCTTTGATATTTGTGTCATTCTTTATTGTTCAATGTGATTTATTTCTGCACGCCTCAGTTTTGTAATAGTTGAATTACTAGAATAATACATCTTGCTATAAAATATTACTAGAAGATCAAATGATCAGGTGACATTTATTTTTATTTTCTATAAATGAACACAATCTCTGGTGTGCTAAAGTGATATCTATTATAGAAATATTCAGATAGGGAGACCTACAGGCTTGATTACAAGTGAGGCTTACTATCACAACCCAAATTTATTGCTTTAAAAAAAAAAAGCAGGGAGCCAACTAGAAACTGAACCAAAAATAAGCCCTTGAAGGCAAATGTAAATTGGATAAGCTTTGCTATTACAAGATCAAAAAGAAAAAATTCAGATGCAAGAATGAGAAGCACATTGCATCCACCCTAAGTTGCTGTTAAAGAAAAAGAATGACATACTACGAAAATACTTAATACAGATTATAAAGAGATTTGTTCAAAGAGGATTTCATAGAGTAGGTGGTATTTCAGTTAATTTTTTTAAATGTGAAGAGGTTAGCTAGATAAGAAAAAGGTGTAGGGATTCCGAATTGCAGAGGGTGCAGGCGGGGCTGAGGGACCCTCCACCCGCGTGCATGAATTTCGTGCACCGGGCCTCTAGTATTTCATAAGCATTTATTTTATATAAAACTCCTTAAACTTAGAAATATGCTTTAAAATGAACACTATAAGTTAGAAAGAAATATCTAGATCAGTGGTTCTCAACCTTCCTAATGCCGCAACCCTTTAGTACAGTTCCTCGTGTTGTGGTGACCCCCAAGTTCATTGTTACAAACTGAACATAATTAAAGCATAGTGATTAATGACAAAAACAATATGTAATTATATATGTGTTTTCCGATGGTCTTAGGCGATCCCTGTGAAAGGGTCGTTTGACCCCCAAAGGGGTCGAGACCCACAGGTTGAGAACCGCTGATCTAGACTGATTCAACACAAAACTCAATCAAGCTAGAAAACAAAGTAGTATAATAGAAAGTGGGACTAAATGAATATGCAATAAACCATGAAAGTTGAAAGAAAGAAATGAGTGGAAACAGTAGCCAAATATTCAAAATAGCAAATAATTAAGAGATAATTTAAATTCTTCTCTGATACTTATATTTGAATGTCAATATGTAATATTCTGGTAACTTAGATCATTTCAGATAGCATGAGCTTTCATTTAAAGTATAGAGTCTGAAGGAACTATAAAGTTGTCCAATTTCCCTTTTGTACCTCTAGGACCATAGCAATGGTCTGAGAGATGAAACTAAATGCCATCTCAAAAGAGCTGCTATGTAAGGCAAGGCAGTGTCTTTCAATACTAGATTAATTTAAAGAATAAATGTAAATGTGTGGGTTTAAACACTCTCTCACAGGTTAAGGATAGAAAATAAAAGTGACAACAGTAGAAACAATTAGTGTTATAATCTACCTTGTTTAATTATGCTAACAATAATCTACCTATAAGATACATTCACAACTCCTCCCTACCAATTATCCTATATAAAAGGCTAATATGCAAATTGTCCCCTCGGGAGTTCGACCAACCAGGAGTCTGACCACTCACTATGACGTGCGCTGTCCACCAGGGGGCGGCACGGAATGAAGGAAGGCCCCGGCCAGCAGCCAGCAGCCAGCAGCTGGGGGAAGGAAAGCCCCTATTGGCCCTGATCAATTGGCCAGTCCTAGAGACCCTACCCATCCATGAATTTCAGGCACCGGGCCTCTAGTCTGAGAATAAAACTGAGTATGGATTTTAATAATTGTATAACAAAAGAGCCTTGCAAACTGTGTAAGTGCAGAACAAAAGGTGATTTATACGTTTCTCAAAGATTTAAAACATTATCATGTTTACAAATTTTGTGACAATTGATACTTCAAAATTTACCTTTACTCTTAATACTATGTTAAATCACAGAAAGCAACAAAAGTTGATTAAAAATATACAAATTCTCCTATAACAACCAAAATGCATATGGCTAATAAAAATTTTTGAGAACGGTAATCCTATGCTATCTAGTGGTGCCATCTTGTGGAAAATACTGAAGAAAGCTGAGTTTTGAAAATCATCCTTCAATTGTCTAAAAGCAAAGTAAACAGGTTTTGGAAAAATACTCAAATAAATCTAACACATACTAGTAAGGAGAATTTAATCCCAGTTATGGTGGTATTATTTAATAATCCATTTTAATCCATGATCATAAAAATCTCTTCAGAACTAGAATAAAATATTGAGTATTTAAAGATGTTATTGATTCTAAATAAGAAACTAAATAACTGTCAAAAAACTTAAATCACAAACTAAAATTTAAATTGTGTAATATTTAATCACCTTAATTTGAAATTTAAATGAACACTTACTAATGAACTAAAATGCAGTAAAAGGGAATGTTATGCCACAAATTTGGTAGAACCTACCCACTGTATGAGCCAACTTGATGTAAAGCTGAAATTACTTTTTTTTTTAAAAAAAGTGTCAATCTTACACTTTTATCTGATGCATGAATATCTATATTTCCATAAATTGTTCCCAGACAGATCACTTTGCCTCCTTTCGTTTGAACACATAATTTTTGACTCTGAAAGACAAATACAAAAATACAAAGAGAAAAAGAATAAATTTGACTTATACAAATAAGATTTCTATCATGTTACACACTTCTCTTTAAATAATAATAAAGCAGAAGAGAGAAACCAGGAATTAAAAAGAAATGTACTGTTTGGAATAATAACATCAAGTAAAAAAGAATGTCAACTGCTTTAAGAAGATTAAATAAGCCATGTAGATTCAAAGGGGGAAAAGAGCTACCTGGGCGTTCCGGTAGCTTCACTGAAAAAGAACTTGGGAATCAAAGACCACTGACTGGCTAACTACACATAAAGGATGAGGAGGATGACAACAATAACCACTGTTACTGTTCATTGTTATTAATATTCGTCATTATTAATAAGAACATTTAGCACTTATCTGGCAATTCTTTGCATCAAAATACAATATTCACTACTTTACATTAATTATCATTTAATCCTCTCAACAACTCAGAGAAATAGGTATCATATTTTCCCCATTTTACAGAAGGAGAAATCCAAGAATCAGAAAAGTTAAGTAATTTTATCAGGTGACACGGTTAGAAAAAAAAAAACCTAACAGAATTAAGCTCTATATAATTTTAAAACTCACACTCTTATGGCTGGGTTCATCTGAAGGATATACTGTATTCACACTTAGTATAACAGCCCACTGACTGTTAAACTTTGCAGCATAGTACCTCAGAAACTGGAATTAAGTGAAAATTCCTCTAAGCACAAATAAAACAGCAGTCACAAATTGCCTCCTCTGCCAGATTTAAAAAAACAAAAAACTGAGAGTGAGTGTGTGTATGTAACTTGATGTCACATTTGTCAACTGTGGCAGAAACTACTATTGGTCCACAAAAATCCACTTTCCTCCCCAAAGTAATAGAGGAGTACAGCTGGGCTCATGAAGAGATTGTCTCTTACGTGTTGCTAAATTCTTGCCAAGAGAATATAAGTGGAAATGCTATGTGCAATTTTCAGGCTTGTGCTTTTAGAAGAGTTGGCGTGCTTTCTCCATGATCTGCCCCTTCCACCAGATGAGTGTAGGTTACAAGAAGGCTCTAAGAGATGATAGAGCCAGAAGATGGAAGGAACCTAGAATCACTGAATAGAAAAAAACCACCCACACTATTGGAAACAAGTGAGAAATAAATTATAGTTGTATATGAACCAGTAGATGTTTGGTCTATTTATTAGAGTAGCTTCTTTATCTTAATCATTTACATATGTCTTCAGTTCTGCCACAATTATAAAGAAAAATATACAGGTAACTATGCCTGGCCAGCATGGCTAAGTGGTTGCAGCATCTGCCTGCACACCTAAGGGTCGTGGGTTCAATTCTGATCCAGGGCGCAGGTTTGATTCCCTGGCCCCATTGGGGCACATGCGCAAGACAACCAATTGATGTGTCTTAGCACATGAATGTTTCTCTCTGTCTCTCTCTCTCCCAGTCCCTTCTACTCTCTCTAAAAATCAACAGAAAAAATATCCTCTGGTGAGGGTAACAACAAAAAAGAATAGGTAAATAGTAGAGAGAAAAAATAGCAAAAGCAAACTCACCAATATGACCAGCAGTAGCAGAAGAGTGCCTAAAACATAAGGAGTAAAAAATGCAAAACTACCACTTACCTTGTGGTTGCTTTATTCAGGGGGGAAAATTGTAAAACCTTAGACCAGAAATGATTTTTTTTTAAATTTAGTGAAAATGGCAAAATGAATCATTCTTACAAGTTTTTCTGTATTATAGCATAATAGACTACTTCATGTCCATAGTGACATGAGTCTGAAGTCAAGTGATATATAATATAGTCTTAATCAAGCAGATAATTGATGAACAATAGAAAATACTATCTCCAAAACAACTAATATTTTAAATCAAGAGTTCTTAACCAAGCCTACTGAATTTCTAGAGTCAGTGAAACCTATGAAATTGTAAGCAAAATTTCATATATATGTGTGTGTTTTTTTCTTTTCTGAGACAATCATCAGATTTTCAAAGAGGTGAAGGCTCAAAAACGTTGGGCTAGTCTTATAATTTAAAGCTTATCTAATTCCCCTCCAAAAATGTGAAGCAGATTACAAAAATTTTAAAAATATTTAAAACAAAATAGGTAAAATAAATGTTTATATTATTAACTATTTAGTATAAGATCAACTATTATACTGCACTTAAACAATGCAAATGTGTGGCATTCAATGAGTTAAGGGTCTACTGCCTAAAATATTTTCTTAGTTATTCTCTAAGAATGCTGAATAAATGTAGTATTGCCATACATTTTGCTTGGACAATAAAGAAAAGTGGAGCCCCAACCAGTTTGGCTCAGTGGATAGAGCGTCGGCCTATGGACTGAAGGGTCCCAGGTTCGATTCCGGTCAAGGGCATGTAGCTTGGTTGCGGGCACATCCCCAGTAGGAGGTGTGCAGGAGGCAGCTGATCGATGTTTCTCTCTCATTGATGTTTCTAACTCTCTGTCCCTCTCCCTTCCTCTCTGTAAAAAATCAATAAAACATATATTAAAAAAAAAAAAAGAAAAGTGGAAAGATTATGAGCTTGGAAATCAGAAAGACCCAAGTTCAAATCTCAGCTCAGTTTATTACTATGTACACCTAAATGAGTTCCTCAATCTCTTAGTGCCTCATAATTTCTTCCTTGATAAAAAGAGATAACTCAAGGATTAACCTAATATTTTTTAAATGTACTATTAGTTTCATTGTAGAATTCAAAATGAAATCTAAAAGGAATATGAGGAAAAAAACCTTCAAAGCTGCTACAACCTCTGTACTTTCAGAACAGAACTGACTTCAATGCAAATTTTTTACAAGTAATTTCTGATTGATAAATAAATTATACTTAATATTCATAATAAATGATATTCAGAATAAAAGCTTTAGTCTGATACTGCAGTTCATAGTTTAAGGTGTGTGTTTTTTAAATAATGCTGACACAAAATTAGAAAAATGCTTATACCTTAACAGACTGTAAGATGCTAGTCCCCTGCTCAGTTTCAATTTTGCAATTATCACACTCAATATTTTGGACTTTTATACAGCCAGACCCTGAAGACTTGATATTCAAATCTAGAAATGAAAAAAGAAAATACAAGTTAGTACGATGGTTAATGGGCTCCAAAGCGTTTTAATACCCCCTAGAAATCCAGCTCCTCAGTTAAGTTCACAATATTACTGAACCCTGGAGAGAGCATAGTTGTCAGTCTCTCTCCCTCTAAAGGTAAGGGGTCTCCATCATGGCAACAGGACCAAATGTAATGCCTTTTTCTGCCAGTTCTTATAAATAGAGCAGTTATTTCTGTTAGGCAATGTCATGTAAAGAGAGAAAGTAATATGGAAGGGAAGTAAAGGAGGTCTTAAACTGCAAATCTTAAAGGAACTCCTGGGAAAGATCATAGAAGCTTCTTTCCCACTGAGAGAACACACACACACAGTTCTAGTAAGAATACAGAGAGTTAACAAGTCATGATGATAAACTAGGTAAGTCAGTTAGCCTATTCTTCCTTATATTCATGACATTTCAAAAATTTGCTCCCAAACCTTCCCCAAATTAAAAGCATTTTGCAGTAGTGTGGATTAGCATATATGATCATGACTTAGTATTTCAAAATCCTATCTCTAATCTTTTGTATCTAAAATAGAGGATATTAGCATGCAGCTACATAAGTATTTTCAGTAATAAAAAATGGGAACAACTTGGAAAAACCTAGTAATATGCAGTATTAAAATCTCAAAATTGTGGATAAATAACAGTATTATCCAAAGAAAATTGGAAAATAAAAAGTCACAGGTGCCACTCTTGGCTATTAATTTAAGGTGTAATCGTGGTTGTCTCTGTACAAAACATTAAAAAATAAACACTGATATTTAATACGTAATTCAAAAAAATATTGATGATTTCCCTTAAACGAGACTGGAGAAATAAGCACTATGTTGCCCCAAACACAAAATAATGGGGTATGATACCACAATTTCAACAGTTATGGCATAAAAAAATCAATTTCTATAGTTGTGTATACTGTAGTCTTTACTCTATAAAGGCTTAAAATAACAGCAATATTTTGGTTGGGATTAGTCTAAAGATATAAAAAGACAATTTTACCTCCTACTTCCATGAATGCAACCGTAACTGCAAATTTTTTACCCAGTTGTGTGACAACCTAAGGCTTGATCTAAGGCAGCGTTTGATAGACAGGGAAAGAAGGAAACAGATTCTCACTAGGTAGGTGGAGAAGTTCGGGCTAGACACTGAACGGCAGTAATGCTACTCTTACCCATTCACTGAAATCCAGTGGTTCTCAACCTTCCTAATGCCGCGACCCTTTAACACAGTTCCTCATGTTGTGGTGACCCCCAACCATAAAATTATTTTCGTTGCCACTTCATAACTGTAATGTTGCTACTGTTATGAATCGTAATGTAAACATCTGATATGCAGGATGTATTTTCAGGGGTCGCGACCCACAGGTTGAGAACCGCTGGTAGACAAACTGGAGGAACAAATATGAAAAAAATTGAATCATGCTGATTTAAGGGGCCCATGCAATCGACACATGGAAACAGTCCATTGGAAATGGGGTTCTTGCTCTAAAAAGAGGAATCAACAAATCATGAGGTTTGTGATCACCAGCACAGGTAAGTTCCATTTTTATCTGTGCTGACATAAAATTCTGTGTCTCTATCTCAATACCCAAGTCTATTTGTACTACAATCTGCCTCAACCCCAGACTGTTACATTTTGAGGTCAAGGGTCTCTTACTCATCTAAGCAAGTTGGAAGAAGTTGAGAAGCAAAAAGCACAGTGGCTCAGCGGACGCGAACCAGTTAGACTCCCCATTCCACCACTTTGTATCTCAGAGCGGACAGGCATATATTTCCTGACCTAACCCCGTTAGAATATACATTTCATGAAGGCATGGATTTTTTTTTCTACTTGTTCACCTACAATAAGTACATACTTTTTGAAACTTGCTCTCTCTCTCTCAACTTCCTTATGTGAAACGGGGACAATAACAGTTATCTACTTTTATTCATTCAGTTGTAAAGATTAGATTATTTTTGAAGGGTTCGCTGCTCGTTTGATCATCAACAATGTCCGCGAGTCTCAGGAAGGAGCACCTGTGGGGGCTTTCCTAGGGAAAGCGTTGGCTTGCATTTGAGAAATCACATGCAACCCAAACAAGTGGGAAACAAATCTTGCGGGCATGGCCAACCGAAGTTTCCCGGGCAGCCTTGCTATGCGTTTGTCTTCAAAACCTGCTCCCCACGGCACATGATGAACGGAGATGGATCGGTAGGAAGCTGGGTGCCCATCTGAAGCCAAGCACGTGGTCCAGGTTAGTAACGGAGCATCCAATACCCGGGCTGTGTTGGGACAGACCCACAAGCCAGGGGAAATGCGGGCGGACGGGCGGGCGGACGGCCCTACCACCGAAGGGGTTATCAACAAACATGCGCCTTGAAAAATCTTTTTTCTACGGACAAGGTGCAGTGACAGAAAGAGGAACAACGTGCCAAAGAAGAACATAGGGGGCTCCATAAATGTTATCTGACTTAGATTAATCCAAATCATGTTTCCATTCGATTTATAAAACTTCTATCGCTGGGAAACGAATTTGTAACCAGCACTGGGATCCTCAGAGTAGAACAGAATAAAAATAAAAAAATAAAAAGGAAGCCTGTGAAGGGGACAGCCGTAAATGAGGTTAGAAAGTCAGATCCAAAGCAACCAACTACCAGTGGCCCAAACCCGCGTCCACGCCCCTGCACTTGCCAAACTTCAGGGGCGCGTTCACCTCCACGGACGCCTGGGGGTCGATGGTGTCCGACACGATGGCCACCTCCTTCGACTCCTCGTCGTACCGAACGTGCAGGCCGGCCAAGTGTGGCGCCCCGCCCTCCATGCAGCTCACGGCGACCAGCACGCG